TTCTTTCTTTCTTCCCCCCCCCCCCAACCCCTTCTTTTTTTACTTCCCCCCTTCAGGAAATATATTCACCTCTGGTTCTGTGTTGGTTCTTTTTTGAAAGTGCAAGGCTCCTCTCAGGTCTGTCGGCTTCCTTGTTCCGGACCCGTTCAGACACTCACATGTGACGTCCACGTGGCCGACGCCCCCGGTGACCCTCGGGTGTTTAGCATTAAAAATTGGGGGAATTGTGTGTGTGTGTGTGAGGCCACGGTCACAACAGCCAAGGGTCTTTTAATGATGGGGGGGGGGTTCGGCTTCCTGGAGCTCCACTCCCGTCATTACCCCATGATCCCTCTGGGCCTGCACCCGCCTCTCAGGAGGCCGAGAGGTTTCTGCCTGCGTGCCCTTCATTTATTCATTTTTAACGTTTGAGGCCTGCTCGTTTCCTTTCCTTCATGCTTCCTCTGCCCTTGCATCACGTCCGCTGTAAATTCTCTCTCTTTTTCTTTTCTTTTCTTCCTGTTTGGGAGAAGTTTCCACGGAAACCAGTTTCTTTTGTGGCCTTTAGTCTTGTGTCAGGGTCTCATTGGTCTGCTGGGAACGGAGAGCACAAAAGGCTGCAGAGCTGGCTTTAAATGGGGGGGGGGGGGGGGGAGGAGGTCTGGGAACCTTCAGCCTGAGAATCACTCCCAGTTTCACGTGTTCTTCTCTGTGGGAACCTCAAGGTAAGAAGTTAATAACGGACTAAATTGGTTTATTGTGGATGATGAGTAACCAGGGGTTTGAGTCTGAGTTGGGCCTGATGGGAGGGGGGGCAGATTATTCCCCCTCAGATATTTCCAGAGAGTTTGAGCTGCATGTTGGGATTTGAGAGTTGGTTTTCTGTGTGCTGTTTTTTATGCTGTTCCTAAAGTTGGTGCTGGGAACTTTTTTTTTCTTCAGCAGTTGATTTCAACCTTTGTTGATTGGATTTCTTCCTCTGAATCTGCATCTTCTGTCTCTGTAACGCATGAGCTTCTCTCTGGAGCGGAGTTTCATCTCTTTTCACTCGTCCCCCCCCGCCTGACGCCTTCTCACAAAAACCTCCATCTGTTGCAGGCCGCGACCTCTGACCCCGACTCCGACGAGGTGGCTCTGGGCCACCGGCCCAAGTTCCCCGTCCCCAACACCCCCTCCACCCTGGACAAGCAGACCAACTGGTCCGGAGCGCTGCCGCTGCCCACCCCCGAGGAGCGGATGAAAACCAGCTCTCAGGGCGTCAGCTCGTGCCTCATCCCCATCAACGTGACGGGTACGTCCAACGCAACGTTAGCCTCCCTTTTAGCAACGCTAGCCTACCCTTAGCTCTTCTTAAAGGTCACGGGGTCACATTTCTGGGGTCAATACGTTTGCTGTATTTTACTTTTAGTCAGATATCACTCTCACACCCGTCTTGTCGAATGTGAGCCAGGAGGCGTTTGGCTTAGCTTAGCACGAAGACTGGAAGCAGGGGGCTAACACTAACCCTTCACTGGTAGAAACACTATTCGGTTCAACAGGAGGTGATAAAATCTGCATTTAAGTAAATATTTTGCAGCTAAATTAAATTGTTTACAGGATATTCAACCTTTTGGTTTTTCATTCTGCATTTGATTCATATTAATTTACAGCTTGTATGAAGGAAATAAAGTTGGCATGAATATGAGTTCTGGGTTCCCCTGCAGAATAATGCAGCGCCCTTCTTCCAAAAGTCAAGCTAAGCTAAGTTCCCTCGCTACAAAGAGTCACGTATTCATCTTCTCATCTAACTGTTGGCAGGGAAAAAAATAATGTTTCTTCAGATAAAAAATGATACTAATGAGCTTTAAATGTGCTGGTCAGGGCTGTTTTCAGCATTAATTGCTAAGCTAAGCTAACCGTCATCTTGCCATTGGTTCACATTGATAAGGAAGCTAACAAGCTAACGCTTTGCCAGAAGGCTAACGCGCTTGTTTCCTAAAAGGTCGAGCTGTTGTTTTAACATTTCCTGTTGCTCTAAGAAGGATTAAAATGTGCGTCTGCACGTCAGTTGTTCCCCTCGTGTTTCCCTCTTTCTTATTTATTGACAGAGAATGAAAAAATAGAGAAAAGTGCAGATGAATTTGCAGTAAATGGAGTTCATTCTTACAGCAGAACTATTTAAATGGGTTTGAAAAGTCGTGCAGAATAATCCAAATATCCGTTTGTGTGATCTTTATTTTACAAGTCAACCACATCACAACAAGATGAGATATTTATTCTACAGATGCATAAATCTCCTCCTAATTAAAGCAGCTAATTAGATTTTTTTTGTATTTGCATTTCAACAAGAAGGCAATTCAAAGTGCTTCACATAGGAATCAAAAAGAAGATAAAAACCGTGAGGAATTGATTAAAAACAGACATTGAAACAACGACTAAAGATGTTGCTTTTACCCACAATGCACTGGTCATCAGCTCCTCTTGACTTCTCGCTCCCTCGAATGCCAATTAGTTCCCTCCGGCCGGCTGAAGAGGTGATTCACTCACCGAGTCAAAAGAAGAGTTGTAGGACTCGCATCGTAAGCAAAGTGCAGCCATCGCCATGGCGCCGAAAAGGCCTGACCCGCCGTCACATGGCCGTGAGGGAGGAGGAGGAGGGAGGAGGAGGGGGAGGAGGAAGCAGCTCATCACAGAGATCCCTTTGACGTCTCGTCCCTGTTCGCAGGCGTCGGCTTCGACAGAGACGCCAGTGTGCGCTGCTCGCTGGTCCACTCGCAGTCGGTGCTCCAGAGGAGGAGGAAGCTGCGGAGGAGGAGGACGGTCGCCGGCGTCCCCCGGCAGGTGCAGCGAGATCCGGGTACGTGACAAAGAGCTTTCACAAGTTCAACTCGAAGAAAAGTCCTCCACAGGTTCGATTGTTACGCTCGTCGGTCACTGAGTCGCTCTGTTAATAATCTCCTCTAAAGTACGTCGTGGACATGAGACGCGGGGAGGCGCCTCCTCGGCGTTATTTTTGGGGCGTTTCATGCTTTTAATAGCCAAGCGACAGACGAGATGACAGGAAGCGAGGGAGGCGAAGGAATGAGAACAGATGCGAGTTCACGATAGATAAAGTTCTCATCAATGAGAGAAAAGGTCGTGCGGCTCATTTTGCGTTTCGTTCCACAGACTCCGATGACTCGCCCGGCTCCAGAGAGCGCACGGTGATCGTTCACGGTCGGGACGCCGCGGCCCACGGCGAGGAGCTGGACGCCCGCCTCGGCACGCGGGACTCCGGCTGCCAGACCGAAGACTTCCTGATCTCGGCAGCCCCGTCTCGGAGGAGGATCAGGTCCCAGAGGGGCCAGGCCGTCGCCCTCTCCCACTCGGCGGGCGACATCCTGCTGCTGTCGGACGCCGCCGACGCCATGTTCCGCGCCACCGTCGGCGCGCACCTGCGCTCCCGCAGTCTTCCCCGGGACGGCGCCCGGGTGGTGCGGGACGGGCACAGCGAGGAGGAGGAGGAGGAGGACGCGGAGGACTTCCTGCCGGGACCCAGGGAGCTGATCCTGGCGGCCCAGGGAGGCGAGGGCTCTGACCACCGGGCCGCCTCCGACCACCAGCGCCGCCCGAAGTACGAGCCGCTCCCGGGGAGCCCGGAGCGCAGCTGGATGGAGCGGAGCAGGAAGGCCGGCATGGGCAGCTGCGAGATCTCGTCCAGCTCGGACACCTTCAGCAGCCCCGTCCACTCCGGCTCCGCCGCGGGGGTCCGGCTCGACCACAAGGACGACCACCAGTCCTCCAGCGGCAACTGGAGCGGCAGCAGCTCCACCTGCCCGTCGCAGACCTCGGAGACCATCCACCCGGCGGCCTCGCCGCCGCTGACGGGCTCCTCGCACTGCGACTCCGAGCTCTCGCTGAACGCCGGCGGCCAGGGGCTGGACGACCACGGCGGTTTCCTCCCGGACCCTTACCAGGGGCTGCGGACCCAGCGCGCGGGCTCCTTCTCCTCTGCGGCCATGGACATACTGGAGGAGGCCGGGGATGGCGCCCCCGCGGGGGGCGGCGAGTGGGGCTACGCCGACGCGGGGCGCCCGCGGGACTTCAGCCCCGAGCCGGAGAGCAGCCTGGGCTGCCCCAGCTTCACCAGCATGGCCACCTGCGAGAGCAGCTTCTCCGACAAGCCGCCGTCGGAGAAGGCGGACGCCGTCTCGCACTACTCCGTGGACACGGAGGGCTACTTCACCTCCATGCACTTTGACTGCGGCATCAAGGGGAGCCGGAGCTTCTCCTACGGCTCCGAGTCGGACTACGGCGGCCACGCCAGCTTTGGCAGGCGCTGCCTCTCTTTGAGGAAAGCGAAGGCGAAGCCGCGTCCGCCGAAGAGGAGCTCGTCCCTGAGGAAGCTCTGCGGCGGCGGCGGCGGGCGCGCCCCCGACCGCGCGGAACCCAGGGCGTGTTCCAGGGAGAGGAAGATGCAGCTGGCGCTGTCCGAGCCGCCGCTCGTCAGAGGGCCTCTGGAGGTCTGGGGCGTCGGGGCCTCGGCCGACCTGCCCGACCTGGGGGTCTTCGGCGCCGCGGACGTGCGGTCGTTCAAGGACGAGGGCGTGGTGCAGTCGGACTACGCCGACCTGTGGCTCCTGAACGACTTGAAATCCAGCGACCCGTACCGGTCTCTGTCCAACTCCAGCACGGCCACGGGCACCACCGTCATCGAGTGCGCCAAGTCGCAGGGGAGCGCCGAGTCCCAGACCTCCCGTCCCACCTCCCCGTCCCCCCCGTCGGCGGAAGGAGACTTGAAGCTGGCGGGCCTCGCCAGCCCGTCCAGCGGATACTCCAGCCAGTCAGAGACCCCGACCTCCTCGTTCCCCTCCGCCTTCTTCCCCGGCCCGCTGTCGCCGGCCGGCGGCAAGAGGAAGCCAAAGGTCCCCGAGAGGAAGTCGTCCCTCTCAACGGTGTCGCCGCAGACGCCGCCGCCGCCCTCCTGCCGAGGAGACCTGGAGCTGCCCGTAATCCCCCCCTCCCACCTCGACTTGCGTGCCCTCCTCGAGGTCCATGTCAAGCCCCCAGCCTGCAGGGCCCCCGTACAAGTCCCGCGCCAAAACGAGCACAGAGCCCCGGCGTCGCCCGGCCCCGCCCACCCCATGCTCATCACAGCCACGGCGCTGCACTCGGTCCAGCTCCGACCCGTCGGCAAGGGCCGCGGGGGGCGCCGCGAGGACGACGAGGATGCACTCAGGAGCCCCCCGCGTCTCTGCCGCCCGCCCTCCGAGGGCTCCAGCGAATCCGCGTTCACCTCCAACGAAGATCTCGCGGGCGGAGAGTGTCGCGGCGAGACGGGGGGCGGGGGGCGGGATCGGGAGACGGAGGAGGAGGCGACGTCCGGGCCACGGCTGGAGGAGGAGGAGGAGGAGCAGGAGGAGGCGGCGGTGGACGGATATGAACAAGAGATGGCTGAAACGCCCGAGGCTTCACAGCTGCAAAGGAGTGAAGAAGAAGAAGAAGAAGCAGAAGAAGAAGAAGAAGCAGCAGCTCTCTCTCACAAAGTTCCCGACACTGAGGGCCAATCAGACGCCCCGGAAAGGAGTCCAGCCGGCGATGAAGGCAGCAGAGAGGAGGAGCGTGAGTCGGCCCAAAGCCCCTCTCGGGGCGCCACAGCCGGGGCCGAGGACCAGCTCAGTAAAGGTACCTTCACTATCTTCATGTGTGTATTTGTGTTTTGTGGACACACCGTGTGTTCTAATGTGGATTTGTGTGCACAGACTCCACGTCCTGTGGAAGCGCGGCGCCTCCCTCGAGCGACGGGGACGACGCCGTGTTTCTGTCCCCCGCCAAGGCTCGGACCACCGAGGACCTGTTCGCCATGATTCACAGGTAGGCGCCGTGGCTGCCGGCCTCTTCGCTTTCTCCCGGCTTTACAGGGTCTTGATTTTTGGATTCGTCTCGTCTTCAGGTCCAAAAGGAAAGTGTTGGGCAGGAAGGATTCCGCCGAGCTCATCGCCAGGAACCGCCTCGGCGCCGCATCGGGGACCACGCCGCCCGGCAGCTCCGCAAGCTCCCCGGTCCCTCCGGCGTCGCCCTCCTCCCCCTCCTCTTCCTCGCCCTCCTCTCCCGCCGCCGCCCTGGCCCTGCCGGGCCTACACAGAGTCTCCGGATCCATCTACAGGAGCGCAAAGAGGTCCAGCACCTCCAACGAGGAGTTCAAGCTGCTGCTGCTGAAGAAGGGCAGCCGCTCCGAGTCCAGCTACCGCATGTCAGCCGCGGAGATCCTCAAAAGTCCCGTCGCTCCCAAACCGGCGGCGGACTCGCCGATGGAGTCGCCGGCACCGACCGGAGACCTCGACTCGCCCCCGCGGCAGCAGCAGAACCAGTCGGGTCCGGATCGTCTCTCCAGCCCTTATCCCGGGGCCAACGCCGAGGGCTTCTCTCCAAAATCCTTCGTCTTGTCTCCCGCCTCCAGGCAGAGCCGCCCCAGAATCCCGCCGCCCGCCAGCAGCAGCCGGTACAGCGCCCGCGGGCGACTCTACCCGGCGCCCATGCAGGCGATCTCCGAGGGCGAGGCGGAGAACTCTGACGGAAGTCCTCACGACGACCACTCGTCACAAAGCTCCACGTAGAGAAAAAGCGACGTCACGAGGTATGAGAACTTGTTAGTTTACAATGAACACAAATGGACCAGAATGAGTTCTAATATATATTTAATAAGTGTTTATAAATAATCATAATTTGACTAATCATGGCTGGTTTTTGTAGATGTTTTCTTTTTTGATTATTCTTTAAAACTATTTTACACACAGTTTGTCTAAAAACTACCCTTGTGATGTGCATTAAGGTGACTTGGATTCATTTGCAGCTGCATTCTGTTGAAAAATCATGATTGATGAGTACGAATGAAACGCAAAATGTGCTTATGTCAGAGTCCTGCACGGGTCAGATTATCAAAACGAATCAGGGAAAGATCCACAGCCTCACGCGGAAAACGCTAATCCTAAATTAATAATTAAACCACTAATAGTTTGGCTAGACGGCACGTTTGAAGGGATAATTTTGGGCTTTTTCATACATGTGAGGCTCAGATATTATATTTTACAACGTGGCTGTCTGCTTAGCTAGCTAGCTAAGCTAATTCCACCATGATGTAATGCTACAGTTACAGAACATAACAGTTAACTACTGACATTAGTCTACGTTAATGTTAACATTTAACATCTTTCTAACTAGCCGTTTAACTTTCAATTATCCTTTACTTATGCTAATTGAAAATGCTAATACACGTATAATGCATGTGGACTATTCCTGGGAACGTTCTGTTTTGGTAATAAAAAAAACGTATAAATTCTCATTAACATTTGTGAATTTGGGTTCACATGTAGCAGAGCTATGTCAATGCTAACAATGAGCATAAGTACTAGTTATATGAATGCTAGTACTAACTATGTGTATGCTAACAATTAGCATTGGTACTAGCTAAATGACTGCTAGTACTTAGCATAAGTAATAGTTATCTGAAAGTTAGCAATTAGCATCAGTAACAGCTATGTGTATGCTAACAATTAGCATTGGTACTAGCTAAATGACTGCTAGTACTTATGCTAAGTAATAGTTATCTGAAAGTTAGCAATTAGCATCAGTAACAGCTATGTGTATGCTAACAATTAGCATTGGTACTAGCTAAATGACTGCTAGTACTTATGCTAAGTAATAGTTATCTGAAAGTTAGCAATTAGCATCAGTAACAGCTATGTGTATGCTAACAATTAGCATTGGTACTTGCTAAATGACTGCTAGTACTTAGCATAAGTAATAGTTATCTGAAAGTTAGCAATTAGCATCAGTAACAGCTATGTGTATGCTAACAATTAGCATTGGTACTAGCTAAATGACTGCTAGTACTTAGCATAAGTAATAGTTATCTGAAGGTTAGCAATTAGCATCAGTATAAGTAATAATTGTATGAAAACTAGAACTAGCGCAGCCTCCAGATCATCCAAATTCATCCAGTAGAAGTTGGTTCGTATAAGTTTAGGATCTGGATTCCCAGCTGAAGAATCCAGTTACTTTAAATAGAAAATCTATCATTATTCATGATGTTATGCTATTTCAATAGCACATACACCTGCGATTAGACCCTCTCGGGTATCACGCATTGAGCGCCCCCCCCCCCCGGCCCAAAAGTCTCTCCAACATTTCTTGGAAACTTGACCTGCTTCATGGGTTTGAGTTTTCGCACAGAACCAAACATGGAAATAAAATGAAGAGAAAATCCGACCTGTTGCAGGACTCCGCTTCCATGGTTTAAAAAACACTTTTATTGAGTTAGTTTGCGGCACATTAGCTTCTCCTTCAATCTTACTACAGCACATTAAAGTTCACTCTGCGGTCACATTCAGAGAGCTTTTATCCTGTACAACTAGAAGAAGTGTATTGTATGTGTAAGTGTATGTATTCCGTGAATACCTATGAAATTAGACACGCACAATTCCACAAATCCTTTTCATACTAAAACAACACTGTGACAAACAGCAGTGGAGAAATAAATGTGAAAGCCTCGGTACATTTATTCATAGAGATGCATTTGTATATTCTACTTTTAAAAGCGTATTGTAAATTAAATCAAAGATAGCACACTATTACAATATTTTAATAAATGCTCATGCAATAAGAGAACTTAAGGCCTAAAGGTGACACAGGAAGCACTAATCGATAATCTTAGGAGGCGGCCAAATGTTAACAAAGGAGATGAAAAAGTGATCAAAAGGTCTGAGGTGGTGAAACAAGAGCTGCAAAAGAACAAAGAGGTCATGTGTTTGTTTCAATGGTCGTTTCTGGTTTGCTTACTCGGTGTGTTTGTGAATTGTCGAAGGAGGCGAGTGGGAAGTGTTCAGAGATTTTTTCGGGGGCTTTATGGAGGACGTCGGGAGTTTAATATGGAGCCGGATTATCATCTGTGATGAAACCGGAGCAAGTCCTGGATTCAGAGATGTTTTTATTCCCCATCAAAATACAACATGCGCTGGTTTCTGTGTCCCAACAATCAGATATCAGAGAAGATATTTATTTTTCTAACTAACGCATAAAATCCCTCTCCCTTGTTGGATGAACTCCTTTCAATGCAATGAAATGCTGGTTTTAGTAATAAAGTATTTTATTCAGATAGTTATTTTGTTTATACTTTATGAGAGACACATTTTCAAATCGGACACGTTGCCGTGACGAACAGGAATTGTACGGAAGCTAAAAACGACTACGTCATATTTTTTATTCTTTTTAGATCACAAGTTAATTATATTATTATCTCAAGAAAACAAACTTTGTACAAATAAAAGATGTTTGATGAGCACAATATCAGCTGACACTAAAAAGTATAATATCAAAATATATATATATATTATTTAAATGGTTGGCAACAGGCAGGGTTTTTAAAACACAAAGGTTTTTACAAAGAATACAAATTAAATACATACATGGAAATTAGATTGGACGCTATTTAAAGAAGCATAAACATGTTTATTCAAAATGAATTACCAATTTCTGTATTAGATCTTTGCGTTGCTTGCTTCATATCTTCAAACACGTATTTTGTATTTACCATGTGGTCACTTACAACTATTTTACTACTCACTTTTCAGATACCATCTTAAAAAGTCGGTCCAACTGTGTCAGCATATCACAGGTTAAAGTCATAAGACTTCACAGGAAGCAACATTTTCTCTGGATGACGAGTTGTTCATCTCGTCTTTTTTTCTCCTGATAAGAAAAAAGTTAACTTGTGATCTCGAAATAACGACGTAAAAGATAAAAAAAAAAACCTCACTGCACTTCTGCTTCCGTATGAAGCTGCTCATTGACGTTGTTGAGAGTCGACAGTCATCAGCTACACGGGAGGTTCTATTCGCTCTCTATTGGTCCCTCCCATTAGCGGTGACTTCATAAGAGCTGTCGGTACTCAACCACTATGCAGACGATGTTGGACTGTATGTGGCCACGTGGCCGTGAAGGTGCACTGTAAACACGCGCTCCGCTTCGGCCTTCATGCCGCTCCGTACCGACGACGTGGAACAGGCTGCACCAGGCGCCCGGGAGCCTTCATTCCAAACGGTTCTTTTATTGTTTTATTTTTGCACTGATAAAGTGATGTTTGTGAAGATGCATCCGTCTCTTGCTGTACCCGCAGATATTTATAGACCTTTTCTACACACAGTTGTTCTAATAATATCTCCGCACTCGTTTACTACTTTGACCGAAACAACACTCAAGAGGAAGGACTTCTGACGGACTTCACATCGGTTCTCTTCCTTTTTGTACAAATTTGTAAATACAATTCTTTTTGGAAATGTCACAAAGGTTCAATTGTTTTCAAAGTTTACATTTCCAACCTTTGTATATTTTTGAGCTGTGGATCACTTGGTCTTGTATTTATTTTTTAGTAAGCATTGTGGAAATCCCAAATTAAATCCTATCGAAGCCGAGCGCTCGCAAATGTGTAAAAGAAGATGAATAAATGTGACTGCCTTGAAAATGACTCTTATTTGAATGGTGTTATTCTTCAGTTTTCATTCTGATTTACATAATACATCTTTATAATAAGCACATGAGGGAAACATGTCATGATTTACTGCAACAGAAGCTATTTGGCTGAACTTAAAATTGTATATAACATTTTGTGTATATAGAATTGAATGCAATGTTATTGATCAAACTACCCAGAAGTATACAAACTACGTGTTTTTATTTTATTTTTGACTCTCTTCACATGTAGTGTCTTCAACATGTCGGTCATATGACTAAACTTCTCTTTCAAATGAGTTTGTTCTCACTCTGATCCAGAAGTCTCCTTCAGGAGCTCTTACATCACCAAACTTCACAGCTTCTTTCTTAGGATGCTGAAACTGGTTTGTTCATCATTCAGAGACGAAGTAATACAGGATTTATTAATACCAATATGGAGAAAATAGATTGAATTTTGTGATCTACGAGGAAATACAAAGAAATATCATAAACTTTTAATATATGAAAATGAGGCCATACAAGAGGGCCTCATTTGCATAGTTAAACATACATTTTATCCACATTCTGAGTCAGCCGTGGGTTTAAGGGGTTCACTGGAGTGTCCCTCAGATGGAACCACAGGGGGATGCTGGGTAATTTAATGCAAATTGGCTGCAAATTATACTAAGGCCTCTTTGTGTGCCAACTAGAGAAATGGCTCTGATAGGGGAGTGGGATTTTAATTTCTGCTGAAAGGGGGGTGCAAGCGTTTAACTTCTCTTAACCCATATAATACCCGCACCTTGCATTTGCAGATTTCCAGATGCACAGATTTCCTTACGTTTACTTTGTGTATTAGCGCCACAATCTATAAAAATTTGCCTGAGCCACCCAGCCAAGCGGCAACCTCCAGTTTCATGAAAAGGCAAAAGTGTTAAAGCTGCATTCACTCTAGTGACCACCAGGGGGCGACTGCTGTTCCTATGAGAAAATGACTTCTCAAACAAAAATACACATGAAGTTCACTTCCCTTTGGACTGTATCTTTCCTTTTTGCTCATGTGACCATAATTTACTAAATGAACATGTGTTGAGGAAGGCTTGAAACTAGAGATTGAGACTATAAACTCGTTTAGATGTTTAGATAGGTAGAGTCATTTTCTCATAGACTCCCATGGGACCAGAGGATTCGCCCCCTGGTGGTCACCACGGAGAATGCAGCTTTATGACACTTGAGCTTTGGCTTCACTTCTCGGATCAGGAAATTGCCACCTGGTTTAATGCAGAATGCTTTCGTGTATGTATGTGTGTGGAGAAGAATAACGTTCATCCTCAAATTCACATATTCTATTACTTTGAAAAGGGGCGTGGTGGCTTTTCATCAATAAAAATGGGCATGGTGTTGCTTTTTATTATAAAATCAAATCGGAAGTTCATCCCCCAAACCCCACCCCAGCCGTTCTCATGCTGTCTCTAAATGCAAAGAGCATGCAAAGCCCCCGCAGAAGATTCAATTATGTCAGCAGTTGGCCCGGTAATTACAGCCGTGTGTGGCTGCTGTGTCCGATCGTCGCGACGCTCTCGGCCTCGTTTCTACTTCTACCGGCGCATTTTAACAAACAGCGAATCCACACTGTAAACATGCATTCGTATTAATGCTGCATTGTATTTCCTTATTCACACATAAGACCTGTTGAGATCCAGATGATTTCACACATAAATAAAATATATGAGAGATGCATGACTGATATTCCTGCCTACAGCTTTAACAATGTTCGTTAGAACACATTCAGCTGAGACTGAGACTGATAGTGGCTGCAGACGGTGTTTGTGGAGGGGTTGTGGGGGGGGGGGCAAACTAAAGTCCCCACCAGGCCACCAGGGTGCATTGTGAGGCTCATTACGGAGCATTAAGCTGGAAACAATGAGGGGCCCTCGGGGGCCCCGAGGCGGCGCCCCGGGCTGGCTGGGGCCGATAGGGGGACCCAGGGGGATCCTGCTCACCGAGGCCTGTCTCTTCCAGACCCTCATCCAGCTGCCCGACTCCACCCTTCCCTCCGTCACCGGGACCAGGATGGAGAAGAACTAAATGAAAGCTTCTCCAGCATATTACTGTTGTGTTATTATTATATGTGTGTTATTTTACTGACATTGTGTCATTGTTTTACTGTGGGAAACGTATATTTCAAACATATTGTTGGTTGATAACATTTCTGAGCTTGAAATTCTCAAAAGGAATGAAAAACATTTAAGGAAATTCAGAAGAAATCAGCGGGATACAAAAAAACATTAAAAGAAATAATGTTGAAAAAACGATAATAAATGAAGTTATTTGTATCGTCAGAACAAAAGAGCAGAAAAAATCATCCTAAACCGGAAATAATGGAATGATTTGTGTGTGTATTTGTACCTCTTTGTTACCACTGTTTGTGATTATTCGCTGAATATGCTTCAGTGTGCAGAGGATGGGAGGAGGGTGGAGTGAGGAGGGGGAGGAGGGGGCGACCCGCGGACGGAGCTGCGCGCGCAGCTTCACCGGAGTCGCTCGCTCGGTCGAGACCGCAACGAGCAGATAAATAAAAAGCCCGATCCGTTCGTTCAAAGTGTTCCGGCTCCCCGCGGCTCGTCGGGGCGGGGGGGGGGAGGCAGCTGCACCGGGGGGCTGCTGACGGTCCGGTCCGCTCGGCGAGTGAGTCAACGTGCACGTTTCTGCCCAAAACCGGGGGTTTGGTGTCAGAATTAAAGCGCAGCGGATGAGACGGTGAGCCGAGGCTTTTCTTCCTCTTCTTCCTCTTCTTCCTCTGATGTCTTCGTTAATCATTTAACGCGGAATCCTCCATTTAGAGGATTTAAAAACGAAGTGAAGCCTTTACACACATTTACTAATGATTCGCGCGGATGGTTCCGTTTTATTATTATTTTTATTTTCATTATTATTATTATTATTATTATTAATGTGCACCGTTTAACAGGAAGTTCAGAAAAAAACAAAAAGCATGTTTTGATTTAGCACGAGGACGACCCCCCCCTCACGCGCTGCCAGATATTTTGGCGTCTTTAATGGCAGCGTCACGCGCCCCAATGCCCTTCATGTCGCAGCCGTGCGCGTTCACGACGCACAGAGGGGCGGGGGGCGGGGGGGTAAGGCGCGGACACGTCGGCTCAGAGTACTTACTACTACTACTACTACTACTACTGCTGCTTGTATCAGTAGTACTGAATCCGTCTGGGATGTTAAACCACCTCCCGTGAAGCTGGCATGGTGGTGCGTTCAGGGCCCTTTGACACAGCCTGGGCTCATTGCTTTATTGTGACCCATCATCACATGTGCAGGGACAGAGCTGGTGAGAGAAAACACCCCCACCTCCCCCACCCCATGTGGGACTTAGTGATGATCCTACAGTAAGAGCAGGACGACGTCATTGTGTTTATTATTTAATAATGCTCAACACGTGTGTGTTATGCCGTCATATAAATAAATCTGTGTATTTCAATGTGCTGAAACGTTGTCACCATTCAAACAGGATCCACCGATCGCGAGCCGCATAAAACAGTGACGTGTTGTTCCACAGTGATCACCATGGCAACCGCTCGATCGCTGGATACTCTATTGATCCAGAGGGACACGCAGGCGTCCGTCAGCTGACGAGGCATGTAATCGATACTGAGGAGAAAACACGACATCCTCGGCTTGTGCATAAGAAGCGCACGCGGTCGTCGTGACGACACGCGTTGGTTTGAGTTCTGGCGGTTTTGACGTTGAATCTTGTTTGTTTGTTTGTGGTTCTACGTCGTCAGTAACCAGGAAGTGACCATATTTGGAAGGTGGAGGAGTAACTTAGAGACATGGGATACGTCCTTAGTAGAGACCTGTCAATCAGCGCGTAGCCCCGCCCTAAATCTAAATGAACATCATGCTGTGTTGAAGAAGACTTGAAACTAGAGACTGAGACCATAAACTTATGTTTACAATGTTTACTGAGGGAATAAATCAAGTGAGAAATCATTTTCTCATAGACGTCTATGGGAGCAGAGGAGTCGCCCCCTGCTGGTCACTACAGAGAAGTAGAGTCATTTCCTCATAGACGTCTATGGGAGCAGAGGAGTCGCCCCCTGCTGGTCACTACAGAGAAGTAGAGTCATTTCCTCATAGACGTCTATGGGAGCAGAGGAGTCGCCCCCTGCTGGTCACTACAGAGAAGTAGAGTCATTTCCTCATAGACGTCTATGGGAGCAGAGGAGTCGCCCCCTGCTGGTCACTACAGAGAAGTAGAGTCATTTCCTCATAGACGTCTATGGGAGCAGAGGAGTCGCCCCCTGCTGGTCACTACAGAGAAGTAGAGTCATTTCCTCATAGACGTCTATGGGAGCAGAGGAGTCGCCCCCTGCTGGTCACTACGGAGAATGCAGCTTTAACACATGAAGCTTTAGAGCTTCACTCTTGAGAACCGGGTGTTGCCTTCAGAAGTCTGTCCCTATAATATGCGATTTAACGATAAATATGCAAACGAATGCAGAATACGTACGGCTGACGTGTTTAGATCAGTCTGTGTCTCTGTAATGAGATGTAATTATCTATTGAAGCGGCGGGTGTCTGGTTGGGGAGATTGGCGGGGGAGGGGGGGGCGACCTTTAGGTCGTCAGCCGTCCTCTACCCGTCTCTGCTGCTTTGTTCCCTCGTGGTCTGAGCTCCAAATAAACACAGAACGAGGATTCAAAGACAGACGCACTTGTTCTTTGAAGGTATTTGAACTGTTCAAGCAGCCAAAGGTGTCGTTGTTCTCTCCCAGCTGTTCCTGCGGCGTACAAACAGGCGTACCTACATTCCACCAACGAGGGGGGGGGGATCATTACAGTAAAGGGGAGGGATTTCATTTGGCTCTTCGCTCAGTTAGCTGTGAATGGTGAACCCTAACCTCCCTCAGACGACGTGGAGCGTTACGTTACACCGGAGACGAGTCGCGCTCTTATCGCTCGTCCTCTCGTCTAATGGAAACGTTCACGCGCCTCAAACGCTGCGTCAGTCTTTACCTAGCGGTCCAATCGCAGTGGAGGAGGGGCGGGACAAATACCGCAGAGACCAACTGTGCGTCCGAAGGCCGCAGAGGACATTATGTAACTAAAAAATAAATAAATGTTATATTAATTTGTTACCCAAAGCAATTTATCCAATAGTTTACACATAGTCGCACCTGGAAACTATCACACATTTTCATTTTAAATTATTATTAATGGAGCTTGTAAAGCACCAAAATGAGGAGGAAATAGTGCCAGTGGACTGGTCTCTGCTGAAGGATCTGGGTCCGTCTGCAGTCGACTGGTCTCTGCTGGAGGATCTGGGTCCGTCCGCGGTGGACTGGTCTCTGCTGAAGGATCTGGGTCCATCCTCGGTGGACTGGTCTCTGCTGAAGGATCTGGGTCCGTCCTCGGTGGACTGGTCTCTGCTGAAGGATCTGGGTCCGTCCACGGTGGACTGGTCTCTGCTGGAGGATCTGGGTCCGTCCACGGTGGACTGGTCTCTGCTGGAGGATCTGGGTCCGTCCGCGGTGGACTGGTCTCTGCTGGAGGATCTGGGTCCGTCCGCGGTGGACTGGTCTCTGCTGGAGGACCTGGGTCCGTCCACGGTGGACTGGTCTCTGCTGAAGGATCTAGGTCCGTCCGCGGTGGACTGGTCTCTGCTGGAGGATCTGGGTCCGTCCACGGTGGACTGGTCTCTGCTGAAGGATCTAGGTCCGTCCGCG